AATCGGATTTCCAGATTTTTGATTTTGTTGTTGGAAATTTGTAAAAAAAGAAATATCTTATTAGATGATTAGCTGGTTGATCTGTCAGAATATATTCTAATTCATGAATCCGACTACGTGGAAAATAATACTGGATAACCAGAACGAGCAATCCGACAATCGGATCTCGTCGGATCCTATCGGAAAAATTAACGAATTTTATCGAATCCGATGGCAATTCGTCGGAATCCTTGGTATCGGATTCCGACAGGAAGTTGTCGGATGTCGGAAAGTGTCGGAAGTGGCCGGGATCTTGTCGGAACTCTGAAAATCCGACACTTTCCAACATCCGACAACTTCCGACTAATTTCCATCGGATCCGATGGTGTGAGATCGGCCTGGGTATTCTGCATTCTTATATAATCCGACAAGTTCCGATACCAGTGATTGATCGGTTTTATCATGGAATCCGGTGTCACTTGAAACCGCAAAATCCGGCGATTTCTTGACATCAGATTCCCCGGAATCCCATCGGAAGCGAACAGATCTTGAGATCGGATCTGACCAGTTCCGAATATATGAATCTAGTCGGAGCTCGATGAATCCGACCGGCAGATATCAAAGGAAAACAGTGGATAGCATCGGAATCCGACAAAAAGTAACCGACCGAATCCGATTAGCCGTATCTCAACGGATTTGAAACCTATCCGACAGGATCCGACATAGCTATTTCGACCTGGGCACCGACTATTCTATAGTGTACTCACTGTTTGAGTACACAAAAGTATGATTCGGTTCAAAACTAATATCAGATTCAGAATCAGCGTTAAAAACTGAGTCGATTTATGTATTTTGTGAATAATTATGAGCAAAAACTGTTTTTTTGAAAAATCCCCGTACCCCCCCCTCTCAGGGATGGTCTGGTCAAAAATCACAATTTTTTCGATAACTCAGCCATTTCTTGACGGATCCTTCTCATCTTCGAACTCGACCGAGATATTCTAAAGACTGAACTGTGTAAAAACTTTCATCGCGATCTGACTCTCCTTTCGAAAGTTATCGTGTATACGGCCGGACGGACGGATACACTGACCGATTCTAGTAGTGTACTCACTTTTTGAGTACACTAACAAGTTGATACTGTCGTTGCTGATGTCACGAGTGGAGTTGAAGTAAAACCATTTTCTACAAGAATTGCTGATGATAATGAAAAACAAGTCCATGAGTCTTCTAGTGATGATAGTGAATCATCAACTGATGATGAATGAAATTGCATTACCCGTTTTTAGGAGAAAGAAAAAATTTATTAAAAAATCTGTATCATCAAAAAATGATTCATTACCTTGTCAAATGAAAATAACAGTTGATCAAATTCCTCTTCTAGCAAAACATGTTATTGATGTTTTAAACAAGTGTAAGAAGATAGTGAAGTATGTAAAAAAAGTAGGCATGTTTCCGAAAAATATTTTACGTTTTTTTATGCCACTATATTATGTTTTTTGAATTTTTAGGTAGGGATCAATATTTGTATTAAAGAAGAAGCTGGCGTTACTTTACATCAATCGTGTATCGTTAGGTGGTTATCGATGATAAATTTGTTGGAAAGTGTTCTACAAACATTCAAAACAACAAAAAGATTATTATTAGCTAGAAACAAGCAATCATTAATTCATGATTTGGATGTATTAACAATAAAACAACTTGTACTTGTTTTGAAGCCAGTAAAACATGTTGTGACAGTTGTTCAAACAGGCAATTCACCATCTTTGCACTTGGTTTTATTATGTAATTTAACGCTGAAGCGTGCTTTATCGTCTTATGAATCATTACTTGATTATGTAAATACTTACTGCAATCAAAATGATAAACCATCAAATAAATGGGAACATGAAGAAAATGAAAATTATGAATCAGAAGGTTAGTATAAGATTTAGGATAAAAAAATTCGTCGAAAGAGACGTAGAATTTATTGTAAAGTTGATGTCAGTGACTTTTACATTGTATTGTTTAGGGGCTCGTTCTTATTAGATCTTTCTCCTTATAGTAATATTTCACTCATATTATGTTACAACTGGCGTTGAATAATTTTCTTTTATCACCCTTTTCCTATTTTATGCCTTAAAGAGCCAATTTAACTTGAATTCATTTTTGTTTCAGGGATCAAATGGTTTCGTGAACGATTATTACTTTTAATCGACGAGCTATTCAATCTTGATGTTCGTCATTACTGTGCAACTATGTTACACCCGAAATATAAATTATTAAAAAGTTGTACAATAGAAGAACGTTCTCAATGTCATCAATATATTCGTAGGCAACTAAATATTTTACATGATACAAATTTACGACACAAATCACATGAACCATCACCTGAACCACAACAAAAAAAAATTAAAATCAGCTGATGCATTATTTACGTATTTTGAAGATGATCAACCGCCTAATACTTCAACAGGTGATGGTGAAGATTACGAATATGACAGTGATGAATATGGGTCGAACACAAATCAGTTTGATGAATTAGATCAATATTTAATTATGAAAATCGATAAATCACTCATAACATATAATCCCTTGGATTTTTGGCGGTACCATGCAAAACAATTTCCTTTATTAAGTAAATTAGCAAAACGGATTTATTCAATATCTGCTACATCATGTAATGTTGAACATCAATTTTCAAGTGCAGGCTTAGTAATTAATCAGGGAAGAACAAATATTAATCCAGAACACATAGACAATATTCTTTTAATTAGGTCATTCAAAAAGCTTTAGTAGCTTTTCTTGCTCTTATAGGCAGTTTTTTTTCTTCTTATATATTGTTCGTTTTTTTGTATGTACATTTTCTGTTGCTGTCAGCCACAGATCTCTTTCTTACGATGCATATGCAATTCTGTTATAGTCTATACTTTTCGGATGCAATGTACACATTATTTTGTTTAATATAAAAACTTTATTTTGACAGTGATCTTTCGTGATAACTTCATTTCTTGATTATGACTTTTGTCTTTTTTGCTCGTGTTTAGTTATACATTTAAAACATACAGATAAATTGTATCATTTGATTCATAATATGTAAATAAAATGTGAAAACACTATTTGAAAATAGTAATAAAATTTTTCATACTGTTTTCAATTTTTATCAATCAAGATAATTTTTGAAGCCCTGTCTTGCCCTGTCCTGCCCTGAGGGCAGAGCAGGGCAAAAAAAATTGATACATTATTTTCAGGGCAGGACAGGGCAGAGTATAAAAATGTGCTCCATGACGCTCTCTGGTATCCAAATTGTTTTTTTAGTATTCTATATATATTGTCCTTATTCATTCTTTCCTTTACTACATATCACTGTCTTATAATATGTTATGCCCTTAATAATGATAACAAAGTTGTTGAAAAATCGATCTATTAAAATGATGAATAGAAAAACGAAATAAAAGCTGTAATGATAGATATGTGAATGCTGATTTTGTTCTAATTTATACTATGCATGTTGCAATACAAAATTTATTCATCACCTATTAAGTATGAAGGCAAATCTATTCAAAATTACTTCAATCGATTGATCAAAAAATACAGGTAATAATAAACATGGTAAATTATTCATAATAGCAAATAACAAGCAGAAATAGCTGTTTATTCTTTTCAACATGTACAATGTACAACAAAAAGAATATGCTTTATTGCTATTTCGTTTTATGAGTTACCTTGTTGATTTTTTCATTGTATCATAGCACAATAAAAAACAAGCCTATCATATTAGATGTTATTTTTATCCGGTTTTAAATAATTAGTTTTTTTTTATTCTATACATTCTTTTATGTAGAAAAAATATATGATCATACATTCATCAATGTTTTGAAAGCAATTGTATAAATATTGAGATACTCTATCGAAGCAGATTAGTCTCAATCATGTATACTAAACGTCTACTTAACATTGTTATAAGTTTTATTTTGGTTTTGGTCTTCACCAACAACATCGTACAAAGTAAAAGTTTATATTTCAGCCTCCGAGACAGAAAAACAGATGGTGACAAAATACGCGAGGTTGTCGGCAACATTCTTCATCGTATGCCACCTGATTATGTTCGGAGAATAAAAGAAGCAATGGAAAAATGTGCCAAAAGCGGTCGCATTGATTTGATGAGGAAACTTACCTTGAAAAGCATGGCTATTATTGCTGCCATGAATAATAATGAGCCTATACCAAGCAAGAGACTGTTAGCGAATTATCTCAGGTATGATGATGATTTTGATTTTGATTTTGATACACGTGGTAAGAATAGTGGCAAGAAGCCGATTCTGGGCTACCGCAACACATTCTTTAACACACTATCATCAGATGAACTTGCAAGTTATAGAAAAAGTTTTGAACAATTTGAGACAGCTTCATTAGACAAACACCTAGATTATATGGATCGTATGATTGATTATCATAACAGATGTGCTGCTGGTATTGACTTTCAAGTACGACGCAATTTCGAAGAGTATTTTGACGAGGAAGAATAATCAAGCAAAAATTATCAAGCATTGAACTATAATATACTTTTTTTTTGTTTTTTGAATTCAGTTTTTAGTTAGAAATATATTTCATTACATTACTTTATATTCAGTTTTTTTTTATTTTTCTTCAATAAACTATAATAAAAACTATCCACCTACGTACTCTTATTGGACTCAATGAAAAAATACATATGATTATTAGTTTGTTTATCAATACGAACCAGTGATATAGGAAATGCTATTGGTATCAACTTGAGATATGTCAAAAATGAGATTGTTTCATTATAAAAAGGTCGAAGTGTAATAAATCTACTACATGTGTGTGAAAAGAAATGTGGTTTCTCTCTTTCATTGATACCTAATTAAATTCTTTAAAACCATATCCATTGTTTAGACTTTTTTTCATTAGCTAAAAATATGTTAAATATTGTAATCACTCAAACTATTATCTTTCAGTTCTTATTTACAAAGAATGTACAATTTATTATATCAAACATATACACAACTTTAACGAGGCATAGTCATAATTTTCATTAGTGAATGAAATTCTCTTTTAATTGGTATATTGAATTTTTCAACTATCCATTTTTCATGTTGTTCCTATAAATTCTAAGATTAAAAATAAGACAAATGTTAATATTGATTCAAATCACTTTTTTGAATTCACTCAGTAAATGACACTATGAAATAAGATATATAAATATTCTAAACTCGTCGAAATAATGTCAAGTTTTTTCGGATTAAAAAATTATCAATACATTCATTATTTTTTATATTTGGTCTATTGTTGTGTGTATACTAATATTACATCGCATGGTTTATTTAACAAGTTGTTTATCAGATTCGTATGTATTAGTGGTGATTCATCACTATCCTCCCTTAATATGTTTCTATCTCTTTTCTTTCTGTCTTTCTTTTTACACTGTTATTATTATTGTTATTTCTTTTCTTCTTTTCTTCTCTATTCTCTTTTCTATTGTGGGTTTAATAAGTATTATTTTTAAACAGATTAATCTATATTTTTTTGAAGAATATAAATTAATCTGCTGCTTTCAATTTTTGCTTTTCAGCAACCGATCTAGTCGTTTGAATAATTTATTTAAAATAGAATTTGCTTGATTGAAATTGATTTATTAAAAATTATGCAGTTTAATTTTTGTTTTTACGCCGACGCGTTTCATGTTTACTATATTAAAATATTAAAACACTCTTCAGGGCACTGCATAACGATTTCAAGCACATAAGGAAAAAGTTTATAAAAAATCTATGAGGAACGAGAAAAAAGGCAAAAAGGAAAAAGGAAGGAATGAAATTTGAAATAATAATGAAAGATGTAGAAGTGATAGTTATAGAGTAAAGCTAATAATAAGAAGAAAATATTGACTTTTATTAAAACTTTTGAAAAAAAATTTTTAAAACTTTGAAAAATTTTTTTTGTATTATTTTTAGATAGAGAAATTAGAAACTGAAAGGAAAGTTGAAGCAACAGTTTTTTTAAATTATTATATTATATATTATTCATTTGAATTTTATGTTAAACTTTGTTTTATTTTAATTTAATCAGCATGTTTTATTGCATTTTACTTTGAATTTATTCGAGTTTATTTTATTTTAATCGGCCGGTTTCATTAAAGAAATTACTTAATCTATTCTCATATAGTTATGACCTGGTGATTCATATTAATTTTGTAGTGGACTTTCGTTATTGTGCGGCTAGCGATATTTTGCTGATAATTTTTCCAGTTGGTGCTAACTTTTCATCCAATGGGCATATGTTCCGAAATTGTTTTGTGTCTTCAGACATTTCTAATCTTATCATTTATTTTTTATTTTTAGAATCTTCATTAACAATTTGAATGTTTTTGGGAAATAATTATATTCAACGAAACATTTCTTCTTTTTAATAAATGTCATATGTCATTTTGATTTTATTCAATAATATTATGTTCCAAATTTAAGTATGATCTTTCAAATAAAATAGAATAAAGTTTTTGAGATTTTTTCAATTTTTTGCTTTAAATTTTTCTTTCTACTACATGATTGAACTATCTTAATCATAATTCAATAATTTAATTTAACTTTACATTATAGATTGTAGTCCAGCTTGCTAGCAGAATTTGTTTTTATTCTGCAAAGCTGTGATATTATAATGTTATTTCGATTAATAATATTGCAATTAGGGATATTGTTAGTTTTGGTCCATTTATGTCTGGATTAAAAGTTATAAGGTTATACTACTGTGTTGCAAATTTATCTACCGAATGATATTTCAATTAGTTATTATATTGTTTTTTAATTTATCTGTAACTGTTAATTTCAAAATTGCTCTTTGTATTGTAATGCATTTAATAAACTTTTTAATAAGCGCTGGTGGTCTTTGTCGTTTTTTAATTGTATATTATATCGATGCTATTTTTTTTATTTATAAACTTGTTGTTAATAAATTGAGTTGGAAAAGAATTTTATAACATTTGAAGAAATGTTAATATGCTAGCGACCTCGATAAAATATAATATTCTGTTAGTTGTCTTGATATTTAAATTTCAATTCTTCTTCTTATTGTAGTCAGTTTATTTTTGTATTAACTAAACGTCTTTGAATGTTATCAACATTTCTGGTACCTAAAACTGGTGTAATTTCATTAATTGGCGATTGACTAAAATATTTATTCCAAAGAGAATGAAATTTAGCTGGAAAGCTCTTCATACTTAAACAGTATGTAAAGCGAATAAACAATGTTCTATTATAATCTATTGAAAATTTTTCTTTTTCAGAAGTGTTGATAACTGTTTTTACGATATTTACAATAATTATTAAAATTCAAAGGTTGATCAATATTATATTTTGTTAATAAATTTAAAAACTGCTGTTCAATAATTTTATTTGAATGTTTATTTAATAACAAGGTTACACGTAATTTTTCTCTTTCTTCTATATATGATTCAAAAGTTGAACAATATCTTAATAAACGTAATAACATTGTAAATGGAATATTTTTCTTCATATGTATTGGATGGATACTATTGAAAGGCAAATAATATGGTTCATAAGATGGCTTTTGATAAACTTTAGTAAATAAAATTCCATTTCTATTTTCTAGATACAAATCAAGAAAATTTGAACTTCAACCAATATTTGCATTTAATTTAATGTTTCTATAAAATTTATTCCATCTCTCAATTTCTTTAACTAAATGTCGAGCTGGCCAATTTATTGCAATAAATAAATCATCAATATAGCGGGGATAGAGACCACCACTATTTTTTATTTGTTTTATAATTTATTGTTCAAAAAAGAACATGTAACAATTAGCAACAGTTAATGTTAATAGCGATCCCATAACTCCACCTCTTATTTGATGATAGAATTGGCCATCGTAAGAAAAATAATTATTTTGCATTACAAATCTACCTAATCTAATAATTGTTTCTAATTTTAGGCCACCAACTTGCTTCAATTTTAAATAATCTAACATCTTTTTTAATGATAATACATCTTCAGTTTGTGGAATCATTGTATATAAATCAACTACATCTATAGTACAAAATAAAGTCTGTTGATTTATATTTAATTTTGACCATTCTTCTACTTTTTTAAGCAATTCGAAACCTGAAGTAACTGTTGATTCTTTAGCCATTTTATCAAATAATGGTCTTAATAAATCATCAAGATATTTGGATATTTTTATTGTTGGATGTTTCAAACCACTAATTATTGGCCGAAGAGGAGTATTAGGCTTGTGTGCTTTTGGTAAGTAATATAAATGGGCAAGTTCGACTTCGTTTGGTTTAATAGTTAATAATTCATATTGTTTTTGAGTAATCCATTTAGCCAATCGAAGATTCAACAGATATTTATTTGTTCTTTTTATTAGATCAGCTAATGGATCTTCTTTTCCAAGACACTTATACGCTTGGGTTCTATCCATATATTCTTTTGATTTTTCCTGATAATCTTCTAATTTACCTAAATGGAATACTTTCGATTTATCTGATTTTCTTAGAACGATATCAGCTTTTCTAAATTTATGTTTTAGTCGTTTTACAAGACGACTATAATTTTGCTTTTTTCTAATTCTTGTAATTGCCATATTTTGCGATTGAATCAATTGGCTTTCTATTATTGTATTTATATCTTTATCTATTATTTTACTATTAATATTTTTATTTTTATTTTTATTTTTATTATTGGTAGTTATTGGTCCATTATGTAGTTTTTGAAGAAGAACATCTAGTTCAGCAATAAATTCTTCCAATGGACGGCCCGGTTTCACTCTTTTTTCAAAAAAACGACCTTCTATTTTTCGTTTTAGAGTAGCTAATTCTGTAACTCGCCTTCTGGATGCTATTTTTGGATCGTCAAATATGAATCTTGGATCCAGTTTAAGTAAGTCATGTTCTTCTTCAGTTAATTTTATATTTGCTTGATTTATTATAGCTGGAGCAAGAAAGCCTCGCCCAACGAACGTATTAGAGTCGGGGCAATTACTGCGATTTCTTCTTCTTCTTGTTGCTGCAGATTGTCGTTTTCGCCCTCGACTCACTGTTCGGATAAAAAATACAATGATTTTTCAGCTTCAATATTTAGTCTTTTTTCACGTAACTCGTGATATTGTTTAAATGCTGCAAAACTAACCTCATCTTCGGTATTTGTTTGTGAAAAACTTTCTATAATTTGTTTTATTTCATTTGCTATTAATTCATGTTCTCGAGCTGAAGCTTGTTCATATAAAGCCATTGCTTCTACTCGATCATTTTTTGTAATTTGTCTCATTTGATTGTATAATAATTGTGCTTCTTCTTGATTCATTATATCTTCATCTATTTTAAAATTGAAATCAATTTTGGTGGTAAATCTAATTCAATACGTTTTGTTATTAAACGATGATTTTTATTTTTTTTGACCATGTTTTTATTTTGGATTTTAAGATTACATGAATATTCCAATGTATTCGAGTTGTTACTTATGGAAAATCTTCTAAAGCTTTAAATTCTTCCATTTGTGCTTTAGCTAATTTTATTCGATTTTCAGCTAATGTTTTAACATGTTGAGTACATTTATTTAAATATTCTAATATATATTTTTCTAAACGATCAACTGGTTCACGAGTTTGTTTTTTAACATTAGATATAGTTGTTGATGTAGTTGGCATATTACTATTTGTTGTTGGATTATTTTGACGTATTCTATCAGTTACTAAATTGGTTGTTAATTCAGCTGTTGTATGTGCTAATTTCTGACCAGTAGTTTCAGATGTTGTATGCATCCAATATGTTGTTAATTGAATTTGAAGATGTCATATATTAGCACTTAATGCTGATATTTCATCAGTTAATTGTCGAATTTTCTTTTGAACAAATCTACTGCCCATTCCAAAAAAGAAGGCGGGTGGATATTTTTTTGAATAACTTTTGATAGGAACAAGATAGAGAGCTGCAGTTTTCATCTTTGGAAAGACGCTGATTGAGCGCATCGATTCATATAAAATTGTTAAGGTTTATCTCAGAAATAGATAGTGATCCATGATCATCTTGAAAGAGTAGACTGTTGCTCTATGAAAATAGAAGAAATCTTAAACTTTGAGAGGTGTGCTAGAATCGCCAGCTCAAAAGCTACAAAACTATATATAACGCTTGATTCAAAGCTTTACTAGTTTGGAAGTTCTAGGTACTATATTCGACAATTCTAGTCCACTTTGCCAGCAATTTCTGTAAAAAAAAACTCAGTTTTTTGGATTTTTTCGTTTTTCCTGGAAAAATCAGACCTGTTTTTAAGACATTTCTTTGTTCAACTATTGCAAAAGATTTCAAAAATTCAAACTAGAAGCCATTGTCCTATATAGTTCGATGTGCTTTCATCTGCTCTTTCCAACGGTGAAAACCGCAGCTATCTATCTTGTTCCTATCAAACATTATTCAAAAAATACCCATCCGCCTTCTTTTTTGGAATGGGCAGTAGTATTGGCTACATCATCACGTTTTTTAGTTCTTTGTACTACTTCTTTAGCCCAATGCTTTTCTTCAACACGTAATTTTAAATATTCCTGCCACACTTGTAATTCATAATTACGCATCCATTCATCATAAATGAAGACTGATGCTAATGTATATGCAGGGTTACCACGACCACTTATAGCATTTTTACTATATTTTCAATTTTCTTCAAACCATTTTAATATTCTATTTCATTCAAGATATACACGAATCTTTTTATTTCGTGAAACACGATCCTCAAGGAGTGTTGAAGTGTTTAGTGGCAGAAATATGGAACCACCCCCCCCCCCCCCCCCCCCCCCCCCCCCCCCCCCCCTCACAGACCGTGACAGACACTCACGTGACCGATCACAGACGGTGACAGACAAGGATTTGGACCCATCACAGACCGTGACAGACAGGCTCTGTACCCATCACAGATCGTGGCAGACAGGGCTCTGGACCCATCACAGGCCGTGACAGACAGGGCTCTGAATCCATCACAGACCGTGACAAACAGACTTGGGACACATCACAGATCGTGACGAACGGGGTCTGGACCCATCACAGATCGTGATAGACAGGTTTTGGACCCATCACAGACCGTGACAGACAGGGCTCTGGACACATCACAGACCGTGACGAACAGGGTCTGGACCCATCACAGGCCGTGACAGACAGGTTTTGGACCCATCACAGACCGTGACAGACAGAGCTTTGGACGCATATCAGACCGTGACAGACAGAGCTCTGCACCCATCACAGACCGTGATAGACGGGGTCTGAACACATCACAGACCGTGACAAACAGGCTTGGGACCCGTCGCAGACCGTGACAGAGAGGGTCTGAACCCATCATAGATCGTGACAGATAGACTCGAGACCCATCACAGACCGTGGCAGACAGGTCTCTATATGGCTCACAGAGCGTGACAGACAGGGATCTTGACTCATCACAGACCGTGGCAGACAAGACTGGGATCGTTATAGACTGTGATAGAGGACTTTAAGTAAATATGAGATATGATGCACAACTAATATATCATTGAAGCATATATTGAGTATTATACTGCCGAAAGTATATAATGTAAGGTAATTCATTATGAAGAAATATACATCTGTAGCTGTAAAAAACAACTGCTTTTAGAATATCGGCTATAGCAGCTACATCGTGTTTCACATTTTTAATCCCGAAAGACATTGCGCTGACAGCTTTTCTGTTTGTAAGCAATGCAAAATATTATTGAAATTAGTTGGTTTCTTTCAGTTCTTCAAGTAATTTCACTTAAATGTTTGCCTCTTGGTGAGCGATATGTATCATTTTTCGGTTATAATACTCGTCTTCGTCAACGAGTTAGACGTTGAATGTTGTACAGCCGAAAACGATTCGATACTGATATAACTATTCCTCAAATAGAGCAGCAGCTTTGCCATAGCTTTGATCCACGCAGGAGTGATACTAAAGGTTTACATTGCTGCTTACTTGCTAATTGCAACTTGACAAGGATTATGGATGAACATGTCCATAAGATTCTTTTTCGAAACTCATTTCGCATGAATTCGTTCTTCTATCATCAAAAATTGAGTACATCGTCACGCTTGAACCTTCATGGATCACAAGCATAGTGTGCTTACTATGATGGTCACATCATTGCTTTGAATAGATATAGGAAATATTTTGAATCATGAATCAGAAGCAACTATCCTGACGGAGCTGATAAAAGCTCGAAGATTTAAATTCACTAAAAATTTGAGATGTTCAATAATAGCAATATTTTAATTCTGAAATATCATGATATTTTTGTATCAAGAAGATTAATTTCCAACATTACACTCATTTTTGTTGTATTTTTTAAATACTGAATGTATTCACGAAGTACTTCTTTGTAAGAGAAAATCAATAAAACTCTTCTAGTTTCACTAGAAAATAATAATACAAAACGTAATCTTCTCAAAGAAGTGTTTCTAGTTGCACTGAATCCAAGTAAGCGTAGTGTCCACAATGGAACATTCTAGCATATGATGCAAATACACGTTTCTATCGACCATCATTATAACATTAAAGTATGATGTGTCATAATTGCTGAGCAAATGCTTAATACCAGCGAGGATGTGGGTGTGGGGTCTGGGGTGGGTGAGGGGGTGTGGGTGAGGGTGTGCGTGTGGGTGTGGGTGTGGGTGTGTGGGTGTGGGTGTGGGTGGGTGTGAGGTGTGGGTGTGGGTGGATGTGGGTGGGTGTAGGGTGCGGGTGCGGGTGTGGGTGTGGACGTGGGTGTAGTTCTAAATTTAGAAGACACCCATACCCACACTCACATCCACACCCACCGGCACCTACACCCACACTCACACCCACACCCTCTAGGAGGAAAGTTAACAGTATTGAAACGGTATGTGTTTGTAGAAGTTGATTTTGACTACTGAGTTGTTAATAAAGACCCGGTGAGTGCCCTCATATACTCTTTTGCGACGGGACATTTAGTATCATTGGATTTATGTGGCCCATTACAATTTGCACA